GCCCAGTATATACTGCTTACTTGCCTGAAACCATCCTGTTAGTTCCAGTATCTCCAGGAGCAGTGATAGCAGAACCCTCAGAACTCCTGGGGTAACTGCCTTTCTGGAAATCACACTGTAGCTTATTCGGAAGCACTTTCCCTGGAGATCCTTGAAATGGCCATTGGCAGAGCTTTATCTGAGCCGGAAGCATGGCAGCAATAGACTGACATGGCAGAATAGACTGTGGATAGCAACAGAAAAGGCAGTTGGGTCAAACTAATAATTACTGTGGAAAGGAAATTGTATACTTTGAACATTTTTTTGATGACTACTGTATACATAGAAGCAGTTAAAAGTATCTGCTCTGCAGTCCTAGCTCTGCTAGTGGTATGCTTTGACCCTTGATCTTGAGTATTTTTAAAACTATACTGTGCATAGGAATAATGAGAGTGAGGATCTTGTTAAAATGCAGATTCTGATTTAGGAGATCAGGGTTGGGGCTGAGACTCTGCATTAACTAACCAGCTCTCAGGGGATGTTGATGCAGATACAAGCAGTGCATGGAACACTCTAAGTATCAAAGACATAACTCTTCTGCGATTTGATTGCCTCACATTTAAATGGGACATCAGTATCATCCTCATAGTATCATTGATAAAATTAAATAAGAATATAAAGAACTTAGAAAAGGACCTGACACAGAGTAAGCACTAAAACAATGACTATTACTTATGAAAAATGGGAGCGATAAAATCACCACCATGAAGATTAAATGAGAATATGAATGTCAAGTGCTCCACATGGAGCCTAATGCATCAAAAGCATTGGTTGTGGACTTTCTATGTACCCAGCTCTCGATGTGTTTTCTCATTTAATCCTTCCTAACTCTATGAGATAGGTACTAATATCCTGCCCTTGGCAGATGTGTATACCAACACTTAGACTAAGAAACTTGCAAAAGACAACAAGTTTACTGAGCAGCAGAGCTGGGGTCATCAAACTTTGTGAACTTAGTCACTGATAATAATCACTACTGTTATTAGTATTATCTTGTTAAGTCCTCATGACAAAGGTGGGGTATTATGCCCATTTTACAGGAAAGGAAACCGAGTTTCAGGGACTTTAGTAACTTGCCTAAAGTCATGTACACAATCTCTATCCCTTGCCTATACACAAGGCTGGGCTAAGGGTGGTACCCAGGGCAGAATTTAGGTCCTGATCTCTGGGCCACAGACTCCTCTGTGTTTTTCATAAGGGCCCCTGAGAGCAGCGGAACAGGTGTTCACCGTCCTCCTCACACCACAGCGGTGTGGGAGAAGCCTTCCTTCCTGCACCGTGGGACTTGTTAGCAGCACTTTTCCACCCACCCTGCAGTTAGCTGTACAGCACAGAGAAAGCGTGGAATGGAGCTTCGCTGTGTTGCTTTTGGAAAAGCTACTAACCCCTGTTATGACTGATCCATATTAGAAATGCAAAGGCCATGGGCGGATGGAAAAGAGTTGTACAATTCTAGAGATCACATGGTGGAGAGAAGGCTACTAAAGTTGTGTTAGGTTAGTTTCTCTGGGACACAGACTCTGAGGGGGAGATGTGAATTTAGGAAGTTTATTGGGGAGCCTATAGTGTCTCAACTTGTGTCGGTGTGAGGGAAGTATGTTTAGGGAGAGGGAAGAGTTGAACTGAGATACAGAGGCCTCACCAAACCCACAAGTAGCTCTGGGGCTGAGGTGGCCCTCCAAAGTTGTTGGACAAAGACTTCCCACTCCCACATGACCAGTCACTGCACGTAGGCTCTCCCTAGGGTGTGACCTTGAGTGAACGGGGGATCTCTCCAGATGAGTGCAACGCCTCAGTATATGGAGGCATAAGTGCCTCCACCCCGAAGGGGCATCTGGGACTCATACCACAGCACCCACTATAGCATATTACATGGTCTATCAGGTGCTGAGCTTGGCAGCATTATGGAAACATAAATCTTGCTCTAAGAATAAAATGACGCCATAGGCAAATCAAAAGTCTGTTTGGGGAGCAATAATGATTTCACTAATGACTGCAACTTGTCAAGGAGGCCCCAAGTCCTACCCAGCCCTAAAAGTTTTCAAACTCAGTTACTGGATAAGAATAGAAAATAGTACAAAGGAGCCAAGGGGGTATGGTGCATGAATATTTCAACCATTTCAGCCTGTACTGAGTTTCTCATTTCCAACTTATATCAAATGCACTTGGATACAAGTTCATGTGCACATGCACACACACACACACACACACACGCACACACACACACACACACACGCACAGGAACAATCTTGGAAGTGGCTTCCTTTTAGAGACATAAAATCTCCTGAATCAACTCCAATCACATTTCCCCAGACTATCTTTGAAAGGAATGGATGAATGAGTTTGACAGAAAACTTTTTGCTTGAAATTTCCTCTTTCTCAAATTGCATAAATTTAAGGGGAAAGTCTGCCAAGTGTTCAATGATGCTCTGCATGGTGGCTTCTGGCAGGAACACTGTGTACCAGCAGCTAAATGAATGTTTTCCTGAACCACTGACTTATCATTCTTTATCACCTGCTCTGTTCCCCCTTGCCTGCGCCAAGGCCTTCTAAATGACTTGGGGAGGGATAGAAAAGAAAACAAACTTTTTTAGAATCGTGAAAAACATTGCATATTGACGTTGGTTGCTGAGAATTCATTTGGTAGATAAGACTGCAGTGAGGAACACAGCTAATCAAAGCTATCGTTTCAAGCCTAAAGTGGACAGTAGGGGGTCAAGCCCCGATGCTAGAGTATCTAGACATTTGGGGCTATAGATTTGTGGTAGGAATCATCTATTAGAACAGGATGTCTTACAAGATGAATTGAGTCAGAGTCATATAATTCCTCTGCTGAAGCCCTTCTCCTAGTGCTTAAAATAAATTCCAATCCCTTAGCTTGGCCTACCAAGCTCTACAGAGCCCAGACCTGAAATCCTTTCCCAGCCTCATTTGGGGCCACGCTCATTCTTTGTGCTTCTGCCATAGTGATGACATCCTTTAGGTTCCTCCAACATGAGGAGGCCTTCTTGAACCCATGGACTTCACCCCTACTGCCTGGAATGCTCTTCTAGCATTTCGGTGGCCAGTTCCTTCCATGTCACCTCTTTGGAGAGCCTTCCCTGACCATGATCCTTCACTTTTATTTTCTATTCTCATAATGCATTCTTGCTTTTCTTCACTGTGCTTATCTATCAGAATTTGTAATTCTTTCTCGACTTATTTCTTTGTTTATTGTCTCTTTCCCACACTCTATTCTATTTTCTGAAATGGCAGGGACAATATCCACCTTGTTCACCACTGGAAACCCAATTTCAAGCACATGGTAAGTTCCTGGTAAATATTCATCACCTGAATGAACAGTGCTTCATCCAGTGCTTAACTTCTATGCTTTCTATTTTATAAAGTATTCATTTATAGATTTGAACATATGGAAGGCTTTGTATATGTGAAAATGTCTCACAGACATAAGATGGATGTGTTTTTAGGATGAGGGGACATTCCAAATTATTTTCACTCCTTCCTTTTGTTCTCATAGTAGTTTTGTTTCAGTTGAAGTATAATTTACATATGGTCTGTTGCTCGCATTTTAAATGAATTTTACATACGTATACCTCCCTGGAGATCTAGAAAGAGATGTAGAATGTTTACAGCACCCCAGGAGGGTCCAATGTGTCCCCTTCCAGTCAATACCCTCCAAAAGGTGACCATTATTATAATTTCTATCACTATAAGTCAGTTCTGACAACTTCTTAACATCATAAATGGAGTCGTACATACATCCTATACTTTCATATCTGTCTTTTTTTAGTCAAAAGTATGATTTTGAGATCTACCATATTGTTATATGTCTCAGTAATTTGTGTTTTTTTTTTATTGCTTTATAATATTCCTTCGTGTGAATATAATGCAGCTTATTTATCCCTTCTACAATTGAAGAATATTTGGTTTGTATCCAGTTGACAGCTATTATAAGCAATGCTGCCGGGGACATTATTGTAGAAGTCCTTTGGTAGAGATGAAAACTCGTATCTACTGCGTGTATGTCCTAGAGCGGAACGGCTCCCTGGTAGGCATATGTTTAGCCTTGGTATATACTACCAGTGTTCCAAGGTGGTGTTCCCAGCATAGACTCCTCCCTGCTCTATATTGTCACTAGCATATTTTCCCATATTTAATTTTGGCCATTCTGATAGGGGTGTGGTATATACCTTTGAGATTTCAACTTGCCTTTCTCTGACGAAAAATGATGTTGAACACTTTTTTAATGTTTATGGGCTCTATAGGTATTTCAGGTAAGTGTATGCATGAATTGTCTATATATGTGAAGTTCCTGTTTAAGTATTTTGACTATTTAAAAAAAATGAAATGAATTGTCTTTTTTTAATTGATTTATAGAAGTTTTTTTTTTTTTTTTTACATTTTTGGTATGAGTTATTTAACAACTACATGTATTGCAAATATCTTCTCCCAGTCTGTGGGTTTACCTTTTCATTCTCCTAATGGTGCAATTTCATGAGCAGATGCTCTTAATTTTAATGAAATACAATGTATTGATCTTTTATTTTATGATAGTGCTTTTTTTGTGTTCTAGGTAACAAATTTTTGCCTACTTTGGTTCTCTTATAGTGTTTTAAGCTAAAGAATAGAGTTGGGTAGATATTAAAAGAGGGTCCTAGTACACTTGAAGTGGCTTTTAGGAGCAAGATGGTGATCGCATGACAATAAAACGGGGCTCTCCCACTTGCCCCTGTCAGAGCCCAGCCGATTCTTCCAGGTCTTGCTCAAATGCCTCTTCCCTCGTGAGACGGCTGCCAGCCAGCTCCCACTCTGCTCATTTCAGGAAGAACTCAAATGAGTTAACCTCATCTTTGGGTAATGTCTTAGAAATATTATAGGCTGGATGCCACTCCTCCACAGTTACTACTCAAAAATTTTCATCTCAAGCCGACAACACAAAAATTACACCACATGGACAAAGAGTCATTTACCAGATATATTTGAAGTCTAAGCTCTTTGAGCTATACACGTGCACAAATGATTCAGTTGGTGGAAATCTCCCCATTCCCCGCCATATTTAAACTTTTCAAACTTAAAATAGTGCTAAAGAGGTTTGCATAATGTGCATCATGGAAATGCTGAGGCAATTCTGACATTCACAGTGCTAGGAGCTTTCGGTGAAATACTTCAAGGAGTTTTCCTGCTTCTTATCACTCCCCTGGGAAAAGTTCCTCTTTCCCCCCTCCAAAATCCAACTTAATGAAATAATTACTGAATCTGAGACAGATTAACATTGCCATTTTGCATTAAATTTCACCAAGACTAAATACTTAGGTCGTACACGCCGCTGAATCTTTATTTTATGACTAAACAGAACAGTCATTTCAAGTTTTACTAAATTTGGTCGGAAATGTCAGATGTATCTGTTTTAAAACATTTAAAAATCATTTCCAAATATTTTCTCATCCAGATTTCTTTAGAACCTGCATCCTTAAAATTCTGAATAGCTTAAAAATTAAATAACTCTCAGATGACAGATTCAGCAGAAAATGGCTGATACCTGCTGGTCTCCGTTCATCTCAATGGCTGAGGGCAACATTTCTTCCACTAGAGGGCAATATTTCTCCACTATTAATCTAGTCTTTCATTTGTCGATGAAAAACCAAAAATCTCCACAGCAAAGGAAAGTCAAAGCATTTGCTTATTAAACTCCTCAGATTTTATTACTAAAAGAAACCTTCATTTTTCTTCTGGAAACTCAGGATTTTACAGGCAACGCTGTCCTCAGTTTCACCTGTAGTGTGTCCAGTACTATATTGCTATATTCACAGTAGAACGGACTTTAATTTCTGCGTAATCAATCTAAGTTTCTGATAAAACTAACATACACCTTAGTCAAAAACCACAATAATCCTTCCATCAGTTGGCTGTGTTATTGTTCTTGGGTGTTTTTCTGAGGCTTGGGTAATGAAAGTATTTCCCCACTCCGTCGTAATTAGCGTTTACTTCTAAAGTAATTCATTAATGTACAGAAGTAGATGGCACATATAGCAGAAGGTAATGGTTCTATAGGTGTATCTTCTGTAATGCACTTTGGGCTAGAGAAATAGAAAAATCACATGTAACGAAAACTAATAAGTTTTTGAGCAATATGGGCATTGCATGAGTAGGATCAGCATACGTTAATCTGTCATCCTTTCCTTTTTGATATACTCAGTGGCTGCTACGTTCTGGAGATTCAGGTTCATCCAAATTGTCTACAACTGACATTTGCATCTTCACTTTATTTAAAAACACGTAATCTTGATAGCAAAGATGTTGGCTAATCATTTATATATTGGCATGAGAAGTTTTGTGATCTTTCAAAATTCAGCACTATCCATAATAGAGCGTAATATTATCAGATTATCTGTATTAGTATATGAATGCATTCATAAGCAATGCACATATTATGCTTTTAAGCAGCTAATGGCTGAACAATCACTAAATAAAAAACATCCAGATTTTAAAAGCACAGCTGAAACATTTGTACAAATATACAAAGAGAAAAACAATCGTTCAGACACCATGAAACTTTTGTAATAAATAGGTTTGTCTGAAATCGGTCTCTATCACCCTGGACAAGCCTCCCCAGTGAGGCTGGGAAAGTCCTATATGGAAGTGGTGTTCAAAATCTACTGAGGAGTATCTTTGGGGCCAAGCTCAGGTTTGCCTTCAAGAATTTTAACAGAGTTGTGAAGTATTGACTTGAAATAGTGAATATACCCAGGCTTGTTGAGCTGGACGACACTGATAATTTTCCTAATCTAAATAGGACATGGCTGGATGCTGACAATCTGTGAGTTATAGTATCTCCTCAAATCATGAAAATAAATGCTGGTGATCATGCATGTCCTGGGAATGTCGGGATGCAGAGGACTGAGTGAGACCAGATAGGAATATCTCATGCAGTCAAGTTTACTTATGGTCCTACTTAAGTGGCCAGGAAAAAAACAACACATACACATCAGGACTGGGACCGAAACAGCTCACAAACAACATAGGTGCTATTTGTAACTGATGTCTCTGGCTTGGATCACCATGAGAGAATGGAGATATAGACTGTGCTGATTGTTTATTAAGAAAATACTACTTTTTTTCTCTATAACCTTCTAAATAATGGATTATACTTTATGAATATGATATGATCAGGAAACGTATTACCTTTTCCTAGCCCTTTTGTCCGAGAGGCTTGATTACAAGGAAGGAATCTCAAACAACCAAACACCCAGGGATTTAAAGGCAATTCTTTTTTTTTTTTTTTCCCGACAAACAACAGGGGGGAAAAAGCATGATAAAGAAGAGACAGATATTATGTTGAGGCTGAGCGGTGAGCTCAGTTGGACACGGAAGGTGGCAGGCCAGGACGCCGGGTTTGGATGATTTTTGGCTTTGGGGAAGTCTTTGGATCCTCCTCCTCCTCGGTGTCACTGTCACACACGTGCACGACGACACTTGGGGTGGACTCAGTCCCTGCATGGAGTTCGTACTTCTCTCCTAAAAAAGCAGGAAAAGTAGGGGTAAGAAAGGCAGAGGGCTTTTAAAACAGGTTCTTTGGTGAGGTTTGCTTAGGAAGTGAGAACAATTTACAGTGTCTCAGGAAACCTGGGCTCTTGCCCACGGATAGCACGGGGCGCTGGAAAAAGGAGTGACATGGATCTGTCATTGTATCCCAGACCTACCACCTATCAACGATACAACACCGAATAGGCCACTAAACCTCTCTGAGCTTCAGGTTCTCAACCTTGAATGTAGAAAATGGCAATTCCTGCACTCCATAGGGCTGTGGCAAGGACTGAATGGGTCTGGCAGTTAGTTTTTCATTTCTCTTCCACTTCTGAGCATTGCTGCTAATTGCTGAGTAACCCTGAGCCAATTACTTTATTCTTTATCTTTTGGATAAGGCAGTCTGTAAGTTCTCCTCTGGGTGTATATGTCTTATAGCAAGAGTTGCCCCAGGATGGAATGAGGTGGGATCATTGCTTATCTGGGATTTGCAGTAGCTATTGGGTACCTGGGTTAGGTAACTATCAAGGTCTCTTCCAGTCCTAAGAGTCTATCATTCTTGACTTGCTCATCTTACGATCAAACTGCTGTTAGCAGACAGGTTTCCTGTCTTTGTTTCACTTCCATAGGTATTTATTGAGCATTTCCCATGGTCTGGCCCATTGTTAGTCATAAAGGCTATGAAGCACAATATATATATGCTTTTTATGAGAGCACAGCCCAGTGGTGGCATCTGGAAACAGAAAGTGTTCCAATATTCCATGGTAAGTACTGGGATGGCAGTATATGTCAAGGACTATGGTACCAAATTGTAAGGAGCAAGTAATTCTAAAAGGCTTCCTAGTGGAGGTGACAGTTGACCTAGGTCTAAGAGACAAGTAGAAGACCAAAAGGGGTTGGGGCAGGAAAAACAGGCATTCTCAGTCTGCATGCTTGTAATTTCTCAACTGCTGACATGTTCTACTTAATCTTCTTCTGACGTCCTATTCTTCACTTCCCATCCTTCAGGCATCAACAGAAAACTCTGTAGGCAATGTCTCCCAGACATCTTCCTGGTCAGTGATTCCCCGGGTCTCACTAGAGATCGAGTCTTAATTTTTGAGAGTAGGACAGAAGATCGCACAGTCTCATTAATCTTTTTTAGTATTACCTCTATCAATTTCCTGTTTGCTTTGGTCAAACTGGTTTAACTGTTGGCTCCTAATCATGACAGCCATATTTTTTTATGGCTGTCGTGATTATGGCTGTATCCACCAAACTAACTACTTTTATTTGGCATAGCATCACCTCTCTTTCTGAGATGCTCTAAATCCTGAACACCACCCAGTCCAGGAACCGTGCCTGTTATCCTTAGTCTGTAGTGAAAAGTACTCTTTCTGGGAGGCTAGAGAAAATATTGTCAGTTTCAGGTCCAGGGTACTATTTATGTGCTACTGTGCACACCTTTGTGATAACAGCAAACTCCTGCAATGTACATTGTTAAATTCTGGTTGCTGACATAAGGGAATGAGGAGCACTGATAATGCAGTAAGTATCAAAGCTCTTCTAAGTCATGCCGGGAAGGATGTAAACATTCAGAGTGAGCTATTGTTATGGGTTGAATAATGTTTGCCCAAAAGATGTTGAAATCCTAATTTCCAGTGCCCTTTCTGGAATTAGGGTCTTTGCAGATGATTACGTTAAAATGAGGCCATTAAGATGGGCTCTACTTCAAAATGACTGGTGTCCCTATAAAAAAGGAGAAATTAGGATGCAGGTGCTCATATGTACAGGGAGGATGCCATGAGAAGATCAGAGTTATGGTTGCCACAGCCAAAGAACTGCTAGAAGCTAGAAGAGAGGCCGGAAACAGGTCCTTCCCTAGTATCTTCAGAGGGAGCATGGTCCTATCAACACCCTGATATCATACTTCTAACCTCCAGAACTGGAGTCTATCAATTTTAGTTGCTTAAGCCACTCAGTTTGTGATACCTTGGTATAGCAGCCGTAGAAAACTAATATAGCCATACCCTGCTAAGAGTGTTCTCTTTCTGTTAAGATTCAGAGACGTCTTTATTGGACCCTCCCCAGACTTACCATCCTGGTGTGTAGAGCAAAGGCTTTCCAGGGTGAAGGCAACAAATATTTCACAAAAATGGAGCATTACACCTACAGTATTTCCCTGGAAATTGGCAGTAGCGAAAAGGGATAGAACTAGCCAGAGCCATAGAAATATGGCTCAAAAAGACTATAATTTAAAGTCTAGATTTGGTGAAAATTGTAGGTAAAGAGAGTTGCGTCAACAAATATTAAATCTCTCACAAAAGCGGACCAGTTTGGAATCAGGAGAGGACAGTGACAAAAATGGGGGACACGGGGCAAAACCAGGAAGGAGATACTTGACTAGATCACTCATGCTACGCTTTGCTTGTCCCTCATGGAGAACAAGAATTGATAGTCAGCACTAACCTGACCTCACTGTCATCCACTCTGAAGATATTATCTTACATATACTTAGCAGTTGTGGTGCTACTTACAGCTCATTTAATTGCGTTTGTTCTGTTCTCCTTAAAATATTTTGTCGTTTTTATCAAAATTTATTTTTATCAATATCCGAAGAACCACTTCAGATATTGCTAAGGAGAAGAACCTACATGAAACTGGCTTTACCTGAGAGTTGCATAAAAGGCTCTGGGCCAGGGGTGGGAAGAGCTGGTTGGTGGCATCTCTGAGCACTGATTCTCAAACACCTGACAACTTACTAGGGGTGCTTGTTAAAAACAAAATTTATCAATATGAGGATGAAACCCTGAAAATTTAAGTGAGTGACACCTGCATTGGTAGTCCCCATTCCCAGGTGTTTCTCAGTGTTGCAGTGTCTGGGTGGTCACTGTTACAGGGCTTTGCGTGCAGGCAGGAGGGCACTGGCATACACATGATGTGCCCCCTCCCTTATGCATCATGATTTTTCATTTGAAAATGATAACAGTGCTGGTAGAAGGTAATGCAGGGAGAGACATCAAGGACACATAAAGGAAAAGAAGCAAGGAATCCAGATCAGCTCTGCAGCCACTCCCAGCCATCAGCACTCGTTAATCTTTGATGTTCTCATCTATGTTGCTGGAAGAACAGGAAGTCCCTCAAAATTCCGTAGCAAACAGTGACTGAGTTCATTTTATCCAGGGTTTCTAAAATTTTCTCTTTTCTTCAGGAGCGCTTTGCAATTCTGAATGAGAGACTCCCTCCAACAAGAGACAGAGGAAGAAATGGCTTCTGAGTAATTAAATGAGGCGGTCCCTGTTTTTGCGGGTAGGACTTGTTCCGCATGTTTGGAGAAGCAGCGCCTTCTGAAGGAACAGTAGTGGCCTCCACAGCCCCATTCATGGCTCTGACAGTTGTGACACAAGGATGAAGGGGATGGCAGTCTCTTGTCCTCTGATGTGGGGATGACAGAAAAGAATCTGCCATAGCAGAGTAAATGTGGAGATTGTGGGATGTGGGGGTGAGGTGGTGACACACGCACCTTGGCCAGAGAGCTGACCAGACAGCCTGACCCCTTCCTCATCTGTTGGTAAGAAGCTAGCTTTAAAAAAAAAAGTAGTAAAATATACATAATAAAATAAGCCTTTTGAGTAAACTATGTGTTTGCCCTGGCTTGGATAAAGAACATTCCCTTAAAGATCCCTTTCCTTGTAATCTATTTACTGCTTCAAAAGCCGATGATTCCCCCTCAGTCTAGGTGTGCAGATCAACTTTCGCATCAAATTAACGAAGTCATATTGCTTGGTAGTAGAGATATTTTATTGCTGTGGTCCCATTAACTTTGACATTTCACTGTTCTATTTTTGAAAACTCTCTTACTATCAAAATCCAGCAAAGCTTAACAGCTGCTGAGAGCCCACAAAAAAAAAAAAATAGCTTTGGTCTTGCTGGATGACATCTTTCCTTCCTTTTTTCTTTCTTTCTTTTCTCTCTCTCTCTCTCTCTCTCTCTCTCTCTCTCTCTCTCTCTCTCTCTCTCTCTCTCTCTCTCTCTCTCTCTCTCTCTCTCTCTCTCTCTCTCTCTCTCTCTCTCTCTCTCTCTCTCTCTCTCTCTCTCTCTCTCTCTCTCTCTCTCTCTCTTTCTTTCTTTCATTTTTTTTTTTTTTCTTTCGCCTTTCTTTCCTTTTGGGCTTTAGCTTATTCCTCTACCATAAAGGCTGACGTCAATGCTGTCATCCTGAGCAGGGGCCAGCTGGGCTCAGTAGGGGACAAGGAGCCCATGGGCAGGTCTTGCCCCAGTGTAGTGAGTAGAGCCAGGCAGAGCAGCACATCTTGCATAGGACAAGCAGAGTCACTTATCACACTCTCACTCCTCTAGTCTGTATTCCAACTATCCTTTCCTTTGTGAGCAGAAAGGAGGCCAAGACCAAAGGTCCTCAGAAAATGCATTGATCAGGGTTTTCCAACTACCGCCAAGAAACAAATTACCAGGCATGCAAAATGTAAAATCCTCTAGCATGTGGTCAAATGTTAAATCCTCATTCGGGTCTTTGGAACTGATGTAAGCTTGGCCTCTGCTCAAAATAGATGTAAGCGTGGACACTGTAGTTAAGTCATCAAGCACTACTGAATATCACTTTGAAACATTTCTCTGTCTGCTGCCTCCTCATACTCTGCTTGTAATGACTTATCCATGGTTCACCTCCTCCCATCCAGAAGACTCTTAGCTGGTTTCTCACCACAGGAAGTAATCTTTCCTGTCAGAATAAACTTCCTAAAAACATTAGGAAACATCACCTTTTCGCTTACTAGTGATGTGACACTGAATGTTACATAACATTTCTAAGGCTCAGTTTTCCTCGTCAGTAAGATGGAAATAACCGCTTACATAGCTGGGACATTACGAAATAAATATGTGTCAAACACTTTATATAGCCTTCCTGAGAAGCATGATATAATTATTTAAGGTGATATTGTGGTCAGTGCTGCCCCCTCCACAAAACAATTTCTGGTTTTCAATATGATGAATGA